CTAACTAGAAAGTTGACGTTTTCCGCGAATTAGGGTGGTTTCGCTAGTAAGTCGGCCCCCATTAGTACCTAGTCGGCCGCTTTAGTCTTCTCTCTGTATGTAACGTGTGGAGGGTGGGTTACCCCCACGGCACTTAGGCCTAATTAAGCCCATTGTGCATCCTCCTAAGATGATAGGCACCTTCTAGCTCGTGAGCCAGCCTACAGATTTAATCTTTTTTTAATATAATTTTAGTTTTCCGCCAATTTAAAACAGGTTTCTTTTTTACCAGTAAACTTTCATCTTACTCTGACCTAAAAATCAAAACACTCCCTCTTGCGTCAAGTTTTAGTATTAACAATTCTCGCCTAAAAAGTAGCTGTTTACAACTTGGGCTCGTGTAGCAGTTATTGAAGGTAGTGAAAGATGCAGGTGTATATGTGAGACAAGTGAATTTAATCAAATTGTGTCTAGAAGCTGTTTTATGACTTTAAAATAACTTATTTTTTATGTAAAAAGGAGATATTAGTTTTTTTTAGGTTAAAATAAGGTGGCCGGTTACTGAAATAAATTTTAACCTATAGTGCTAGTAGTCGGCCATGGTGGACGACTACTAGCGCATGGACCTTATTATGTTTTTGTCTTTTTTGCATTTAATGAAGTCGGTATATATTTTTCTTGCATGACTACATTTAGATTAATATCAAATAATATATTGTACTGTAGTCGACCGGGGTCAAAGTACATAACAAAAAAGTTATTTGCTTTTTAAGTTGGTGGCCGACTACTAGAACAGTATCCAAATAAACATTTGGCTAGTCGTCGGCCACAAAATTTTTTCTTTATTTTTGTGCATATTTTCTTCTAAAATTTGCCTTTTTTGCTATTCTAGGCCATGCCTAAACAACCAAAAAGGCAAATACACTCATATTCGGAGGAAAGCTTGAAAAAAGCATTAGATGCGATAAAACTTGGCGCCAAAATAAGGCAAACATGCAGATCATATGGGGTTCCGCGGGCAACGCTCCAGGATCGGATTAAGGTACGTGTTTCTGAAAACCTAAAGATGGGACCTGACCCGTTCTTAACGCTTGAAAATGAGAAAAGGATAGTTGACTGGTTGATTCAATTGGCTAAATGTGGCTTTCCAATTAAAAACAGTATTAAACTTCTTAATACTGTAAAAAAAAAAGTTCTTGATGAAAACATAAAGACTCCATTTAAGGATGGAAAACCGGGACAAAGGTGGTATTCATCATTTCTTCAAAGGCACCCCCAAAATTCGGCTCGAACTGCCGAGTCAATAGATATATCACGGGCAAAATTGACAGAAGAATACATCAAATCCTGGTTTCACAAGCTAGAAGTATTTTTGGATAGCGTTGTGGCAACGGATATTTTAACATCTCCATCGAGAATTTTTAACTGGAAGGGTCCTTGGACCAAAAGGGTTCAAAAATCTCTATGAGGTGAAGAAGGAAAACGAAAAAGAAAATATCACTGTGCTCTTGACTATTTCTGCGAATGGGCGTATTTGTCCTGTGTGCGAGGTTTATCCATATAAGAAGCCACCGAGAGCTGTGGTCGAAAGTTTACCGGACGAATGGATTCTTGGAAAATCAGAATCCGGGTGGATGAGATCCGACGTATTTATCGACTTTGTAAAAAACGGTCTTAACGAGTGGCTGTTAACAGAAAACATTCAGAAACCCATTTAATTTTTTGTAGACGGACATCGGTCCCATATGTCAATCGAGTGAATTTTGCGATCTAAATGGCATAATTTTATATTCATTACCACCAAATGCGACACATTTAATGCAGCCTGCCGATGTCGCAGTATTTAAACCACTAAAAGAGTATTGTCGGCAGGCTGTAAGAAGTTGGCAGAATGAAAATATGGACAAATGCTTAACAAAGTTTGATTTCGCGCCAGTTTTTGAAATAGCAGTTGAAAATCAAAATTTACCATAACACATAAGAAAAGGTTTTTGTCTCTGTGGACTATTTCCCTTTGACTACAATGCGATGGATTACACTAAATGTGTGATAACATGAAAAAAATAGGAAGGGCAAAATGGACCAAGTTAACATTATTATAGTTTGATCATTAGTACCTACCAATTCTTATAAAACCTCGTCCTCACCAAAATAATCCAAAATTACACAAATAGAAATCCAATTAAATGGTATGGATTACAGTTGTTTATGTTTTTTAATTGTTTCGTCTTGTGTTTCGGCGAATGAATCAACTTTCCAGAAGACTCGACTTACCGTTGATGATGTGTGGCCAATATGTAGAGGTTTTTCATTTTAGATAGACCAAAAATCCAAAATAAATTGAAATATTTAACACTCTTTAAATAAATTATAGTCTTGTCTAATTTTCTTTATTTTAGCTCACAAAAAATCCGTAAAAATTACGAAATGATCTTCCACGACCATGCGCTCTCAACAAAGCTATCAAAACAAAAAGAAAGGTTCGAAGTTCAAGGCAACTGTTCTTCAGGAAACTTCTTGTATTTAGGGACTTTTACAAATATTAAGATTGACAACACTAGTGTAAATAGATAAAAGAAGAAGTATTTGGTGATAATAATTAATGTTATTGGAGCACCTTTTGACATTCTATAAAGGTTATGTTTAATGTTTACTTTTTAATAAAAAGTTTGTAGAATAGTAGAAAATAAATATTAGTTTAAAAAATTAAAAAACACGCTTTAATAGAAAAGCAAACTAAAAAGTAGAAAATAATTTTCAATAAATTTAAATTAAGAATAGTGTGATTAACAAAAACATTTCTTTTATTGTAGAACAGCGTAATAAATACACAATAATAGATCCAATATGGCTGCTAATAAATTTAAAAATTTGACGATCAAGACTTGAAATCGAAAAACGTATTAATTAATTAATTACGACTTATTCAATATTTTTGTCTTCTAAATCTATATTAAGATCCGCCATATTAAATCCGCCATTTTGAACCAAACTAAAATTAAAATTTCATTAAAAGTGCAGGTACTTAATGTGTCTTTTTCCACAGCAACATTTGATTGAGGCATGCTAGGTCCAACCCTAATATTTTGGTACAAATAACCTGTCCGAATAGTTATGTCTTACCCCGTATACTATTTCTGCTCACGTCCCAAATTTTACAGCCACGTGTACGTCACTTGTCTTCCCTCCTGTAGGACGTCGCTGTATTTTTATCTCAATAAAAAAAACTAATTAAATTAATTTTAATATCTCCTCAAAAAATCTATTAAATCGTTCGCAAGTAGCTACACATATGGCTTGAATACATGAATAAAATATATTGGAATAAAACCATTATTCTTCGTAGGTCGACAATGGTAATGGTAATGGTGCCACTATTTCCAGTTCATTTATTGTGATAAACGGGGGTATATACAATGCGCTAAACCATTCCAAATATTTATTTCCATCAATTATTTATCGATCCAAACTAAAGGGATGAATGCAAGTGGGCACTTGTTCGCTATTTAAAATAGCGCCAATTAATTTAATTAAATTTATATAAATATACTGTTACGAATCGATGAATTGTTTACTCGACAGGGCCGCATCTGCGTTAGTTTCTTTTATTTTGTTTATTATGAAATGCTGCAAAAACAAGGTTTTAAATATTGGTAAATACGAGATATATCGATTGGAAATATATGGTCCACAAAGGGCGTCATATATGTGGTGGAAGTTTCGAATTATCTGTCAAATAATTTTCATGAAGGTAATCAAAACATTTTTCAATTCTTTCATCTACTGGCTTAATTTCGTAGAGCTCAAAAAAATAAAAATCGTCAACATCCTTTGGTTCCAAAAATAAAAGACCAAACAATAATGGAGCTACTTTCCAATCTCAGAATTTTTGTCTTGGTATTCTTTTGATAAACCTAGATTTTGAATTTTTCTATACCATGCTTGAGTTAAGTGGAATCAACACCCAGTAATTTTTGCAATTGGATACATTTCTAAAACTGCATTATGAATAGATATCTCCAAATCCACTACTATTTCTTCTGATACAAATTTTATTTTTATATAATCACAATACTCTTTAATTTTTGATATGCAAAACCTATATGTTTTTACACTTTTGTCTTTTAATAAACAAAAAACTAACGGTATATAATGGCCATTAAAAAAACCATATATTGTAAACATTTGTTTAAAATATTTGGTGCAGTAAAAAAATGTACCTTCTATATAAATACTTTTTGATTCACATAAATACTTTAAATTACTTTTACAGCTAAATTTTCATTCATTCATTCAGATTTTCTGTTCAGATTATACTGTAGTGTTATTCAATCATTTCTATTAGTTATTTGAAGATAGATTTTTAAATCAATTCCGTAAGTAAGCCTGCCTGAATCCAAATGGCCATCCAAGTCATTGATAAATAATAAGAATGTAAGTAGCCCAAGATTTTAGCTTTGAGGCACGCCTGATTTTGAAAAGTATTCTTATCACAACAACCTGCTGTCTATTTGAAAGGTATGACTGGAAGAACTTCAGTAGAACATAAGAGAAACCAAACTGATTTAATTATTTATCAACTATTTTTCCGTGATCCATTCTCTCAAAAACCTTTGAAAAGTCGCTATATATCACTTCCATTTGTGCACCATTGTCAAAAACTTTAGTTAATTGCTAGGTTATTGTAAGTAAATTGGTCACGGTTAATTTCTTACTCAGGAATTATATTATTTTACAAATAGACGATTATAGAGAACCACCTCAAAATTTTATGAAAATTTGATGAAATGGATATGGGACAATGGTTGTTGATTAATGACATCACTTGATTTAAAACCCGAAATAATTTTGCTGTTCCTCCAAAGGTGTCTCACCTTCTCTCTTAATAGAAACTTGAAGAAATTCTTTCTCGTACTCTGCAAGTGGTCCAATCTCTTGTTCTGCATTAGTATCATTCTTCTTATTGAAATTTGGCTTAATTTCTAACTCAAATTTTTGAATGATTTCTTCACTTCCAAATATTACATCTCTACTTCGAATGAATTTCTTTTTATTCTGTATCCAAATTCTGTATCCAAATTCTGTATCCAAATTCTGTATCCAAATTCTGTATCCAAATTCTGTATCCAAATTCTGTATCCAAATTCTGTATCCATATTCTGTATCCAAATTCTGTATCCAAATTCTGTATCCAAATTCTGTATCCAAATTCTGTATCCAAATTCTGTATCCAAATTCTGTATCCAAATTCTGTATCCAAATTCTGTATCCAAATTCTGTATCCAAATTCTGTATCCAAATTCTGTATCCAAATTCTCTACCCAAATTCTGTATTTAAACAACAATAAGCTCTAATTCTTAGAGTTTATTATACAGCTTTATATCTTATTCGAATGACCATGATATTTGAGTTGCAAGTTCCCCAACATAAAAAATATTTGTATGAAATTGAACGAATTTAGTCCAAAAGAAAAAATTATATTCCCATATGTTCTTCCCAATAAATCAGTAACAGCCTTTTTCTCAATTACATTATCTCAAATCAACTTCAGCCCCTTTATCGAAAACATCAATTTTTTGCGGATAGAAATATCCCCTGTACAAATTTCATGTATAATGGCTTCTAGACCCGCTACAATAGGCTTAAGGTCTTACATTTCCTAATTTAACGTTGCATCCATCCATCCCTTCGTAATATCTCACCCTTCTCATTATTTATTTCCATTCCGATTTAATAAAATAGAAATATATGTATTGTGTGCTAGCTGCCGAGTAATAAAATGGTTCACGCTTCAGACATCTATTTACATTTATCCTAATGGGTGAGATAAGCTTAACGATTTTTTTGTCTATATGTCATTTGTCAATTTCACTAGCAATCTTAAATTCACAGTGTATTACAGTTATCTTTATTTAAAAAAAAATTATGTTATATTAGAATGGTTTCTAACCTGGAAGAGTGCATCCGTAGCGTTATTTAATTTTACTTTTTCTTTGATCTTCCAAAGGCTTTTGACTCGGTTAGTACTGATATGAAATAAATATTACGAGATTTAGGTTTTCAGGCCAAATTTTTCTCGTGGCTGACCTCATACTTAGAGGCGAAAAAAAGTATAGTTAGGATTAAGATCGAAAGCCTCTTCCTCAAACTGTTGATATTGGTGTAACTCAAATATCTATTCTGGGACCTTTGATATTTGTATTATACATAAATATCTGTCTAAATATGTTAGCACTAATCATCTGATACTTTATACAGATGATACAACGTTAGCAGTTAATGCTGAATCTTCTAATGAGCTGATCATAAAGATCAATCTTTTATAAAAGAATTTTATGTATCAAAAAAAGAACATTAACAGGTTCTTTTCAAAGAGGCGTACCGAAAACATATTTTCCAAATTCAAATCTAATAATAATTGTTCTGAATGATTCAAATATTGGGCAATTTGGAATAATTTGCATACGAATGTGTGGTTGAAAGGCTTACTACAAACCATAACAGAGAAAATGACATTGATCTGCCACTAATCCTTTTAATCCTTTGCGATGAACTGCCTATGACGACGTCCCCTTTACCCTTTTTTGCGATGACGAGGTAGGCATATGAATGAAATTTATTGAATTCTCATTCTACGAAGATTAATTCGTGAACGCATGCCATTAGATAGATTGAAGTTGACCCTACTCGAAAATGAATAAATTCTATTCAGTTTCCGACGATTTAAACCACTTAGGCCGAATTGAAATGTTAATATTCATTCAACTGTTTAGAAAACAGTTGGCCGGAGATATATTAGCACACACGGATAAAAAAATGATATTTTATCCGGGTAATAAATCAGCTAGAGTACTGGTTCGGACCGAACTAAAATTAGGCATTTGAATAGTTCGAAACAATCGATACTTTTTTATGCCAGTAGCAAAATGTAGGTCTGTTCCAACAACGATCCGAAACCAGTCACTGGCACCAGGATTCTGCGCAGTATATAATTTGGGGTCCTAAGAATCTACTGCGCAGAATCCTGGTGTCAATGACTGGTTTTTGATCGTTGTTGGACCAGACCCTGTATCTCACACTTTCATGCATATTTATATGCATAATTACATGTTTCTATTAAAGTAATAACAATAATTATGAAACTAAATATGAGCAACACACACAAAAAAAAATACAAAAATACACAAGTCAGGATTATTTACTATCAAATCCGAAATGAAATTAAAACACGCCAAGACTGCAAAATTTACCCTATAGCAGGTTACCAGATATATTTCATTAATAAGAGAAAAAACAATTGTATTACAAAAAACACAATATCTGCGAAATATATACATAGAGAAATATAAAAACAGTTTATTGATATATCTATTTTAACTGTTGTTTATAGTATGTTACGTAACAAGAGTTGTAAGTAACCCATTACGAGCGAAGTGAAAAAGTTTACGCACAAAGCCGCGCAAATTCTGGATTAAATTTGTTTTGTATCGTTTCCAAAGAGTGTATTAAACTTTGTTGAGTAGGATTCCATACTATATTTGCGAAATAAAGCGTATTGAGAACCGGTAAAACTAAATTTTTGGTGCAAAACGTTCTTATCTGGAAAATTAGAGTAAAAAAACCTGTAGTAGGAAGAATAATGTATCATCCCTTGGATACCGGAATTAAGGAGAGCTCTCACGTCACCCCTAGATGTAGTTTGGGTAAGTGATTTAGTCTCAATCGTTTTTTCTTAACCGTTTTATTTTTTTTTAATCATTTTTTTTAAACTATTACTTAATAGAACAATTTTGAAAGACATACAGTCTATATAGTAATATAGTAATATAGTAATATAGTAATATAGTAATATAGTAATATAGTAATATAGTAATATAGTAATATAGTAATATAGTAATATAGTAATATAGTAATATAGTAATATAGTAATATAGTAATATAGTAATATAGTAATATAGTAATATAGTAATATAGTAATATAGTAATATAGTAATATAGTAATATAGTAATATAGTAATATAGTAATATAGTAATATAGTAATATAGTAATATAGTAATATAGTAATATAGTAATATAGTAATATAGTAATATAGTAATATAGTAATATAGTAATATAGTAATATAGTAATATAGTAATATAGTAATATAGTAATATAGTAATATAGTAATATAGTAATATAGTAATATAGTAATATAGTAATATAGTAATATAGTAATATAGTAATATAGTAATATAGTAATATAGTAATATAGTAATATAGTAATATAGTAATATAGTAATATAGTAATATAGTAATATAGTAATATAGTAATATAGTAATATAGTAATATAGTAATATAGTAATATAGTAATATAGTAATATAGTAATATAGTAATATAGTAATATAGTAATATAGTAATATAGTAATATAGTAATATAGTAATATAGTAATATAGTAATATAGTAATATAGTAATATAGTAATATAGTAATATAGTAATATAGTAATATAGTAATATAGTAATATAGTAATATAGTAATATAGTAATATAGTAATATAGTAATATAGTAATATAGTAATATAGTAATATAGTAATATAGTAATATAGTAATATAGTAATATAGTAATATAGTAATATAGTAATATAGTAATATAGTAATATAGTAATATAGTAATATAGTAATATAGTAATATAGTAATATAGTAATATAGTAATATAGTAATATAGTAATATAGTAATATAGTAATATAGTAATATAGTAATATAGTAATATAGTAATATAGTAATATAGTAATATAGTAATATAGTAATATAGTAATATAGTAATATAGTAATATAGTAATATAGTAATATAGTAATATAGTAATATAGTAATATAGTAATATAGTAATATAGTAATATAGTAATATAGTAATATAGTAATATAGTAATATAGTAATATAGTAATATAGTAATATAGTAATATAGTAATATAGTAATATAGTAATATAGTAATATAGTAATATAGTAATATAGTAATATAGTAATATAGTAATATAGTAATATAGTAATATAGTAATATAGTAATATAGTAATATAGTAATATAGTAATATAGTAATATAGTAATATAGTAATATAGTAATATAGTAATATAGTAATATAGTAATATAGTAATATAGTAATATAGTAATATAGTAATATAGTAATATAGTAATATAGTAATATAGTAATATAGTAATATAGTAATATAGTAATATAGTAATATAGTAATATAGTAATATAGTAATATAGTAATATAGTAATATAGTAATATAGTAATATAGTAATATAGTAATATAGTAATATAGTAATATAGTAATATAGTAATATAGTAATATAGTAATATAGTAATATAGTAATATAGTAATATAGTAATATAGTAATATAGTAATATAGTAATATAGTAATATAGTAATATAGTAATATAGTAATATAGTAATATAGTAATATAGTAATATAGTAATATAGTAATATAGTAATATAGTAATATAGTAATATAGTAATATAGTAATATAGTAATATAGTAATATAGTAATATAGTAATATAGTAATATAGTAATATAGTAATATAGTAATATAGTAATATAGTAATATAGTAATATAGTAATATAGTAATATAGTAATATAGTAATATAGTAATATAGTAATATAGTAATATAGTAATATAGTAATATAGTAATATAGTAATATAGTAATATAGTAATATAGTAATATAGTAATATAGTAATATAGTAATATAGTAATATAGTAATATAGTAATATAGTAATATAGTAATATAGTAATATAGTAATATAGTAATATAGTAATATAGTAATATAGTAATATAGTAATATAGTAATATAGTAATATAGTAATATAGTAATATAGTAATATAGTAATATAGTAATATAGTAATATAGTAATATAGTAATATAGTAATATAGTAATATAGTAATATAGTAATATAGTAATATAGTAATATAGTAATATAGTAATATAGTAATATAGTAATATAGTAATATAGTAATATAGTAATATAGTAATATAGTAATATAGTAATATAGTAATATAGTAATATAGTAATATAGTAATATAGTAATATAGTAATATAGTAATATAGTAATATAGTAATATAGTAATATAGTAATATAGTAATATAGTAATATAGTAATATAGTAATATAGTAATATAGTAATATAGTAATATAGTAATATAGTAATATAGTAATATAGTAATATAGTAATATAGTAATATAGTAATATAGTAATATAGTAATATAGTAATATAGTAATATAGTAATATAGTAATATAGTAATATAGTAATATAGTAATATAGTAATATAGTAATATAGTAATATAGTAATATAGTAATATAGTAATATAGTAATATAGTAATATAGTAATATAGTAATATAGTAATATAGTAATATAGTAATATAGTAATATAGTAATATAGTAATATAGTAATATAGTAATATAGTAATATAGTAATATAGTAATATAGTAATATAGTAATATAGTAATATAGTAATATAGTAATATAGTAATATAGTAATATAGTAATATAGTAATATAGTAATATAGTAATATAGTAATATAGTAATATAGTAATATAGTAATATAGTAATATAGTAATATAGTAATATAGTAATATAGTAATATAGTAATATAGTAATATAGTAATATAGTAATATAGTAATATAGTAATATAGTAATATAGTAATATAGTAATATAGTAATATAGTAATATAGTAATATAGTAATATAGTAATATAGTAATATAGTAATATAGTAATATAGTAATATAGTAATATAGTAATATAGTAATATAGTTGATTAAATTTAAAGTCATTCTGAAAAAGAACAGCAAGATCACATATAGTAGTTACTCTTTCCATCTGAGAGTTCTGTATGATATATATGTAATTATACGGATTTTTAGTTTTACTGTAAGTTAGGACCTTACATTTTGCTAAATTAAATAATAATTTATTTTTTATGGCCCAATCGCAAATTTTGTCCAGATCATTAACGAAAATTAAAAACAGTTGGGATCCTAGGTTTGAACCTTGTGGAACTTCAGATCCAGTTAAAAAAATGTGTGATAATTCACCTTTATATAATACAATCTGAGTTTTTAGTTTTAAGTATGATATAAAATAGTTTAATAAGTGATCACTTAGTCCATAATACCGCAACTTAATAGGAAATCGTGATTTACTTTATCAAACGCTTTTGCAAAATCGGTATAAATACAATACACTTGTAATTTATTATCAATTTTTTCGATAACTTTACTAGAAAAACTTAAAAGATTCGTTTCAACTAATCTTTTTCTACAAAAGCCATGTTGTTCAACAGATATTAGTGATTTCAAGCTACAATATAATTTTTCATGAATGATGAATTCAAGAATTTTTGAAATACAATTAAGTAATGCTACCGGTCTATAATTATTGACCAATTTCTTATTTCCATATTTTAAAGATTTGTGTAATTCTGGTAAGCTTAAATTCAGTTGGATAAATACCAGACTTTAGAGACTTAATAAATATTATTCATAAAGGATAGAGTAAACAGTATCTGCAGCCTTTAATAACATAACAGGGAATGTTATCAGGACCAGAGGATCTCTTTGGTTTTAATTTTTGAAACGCCTTTTCTATATATTTTATCGAAATTTGATTAAAGGAAATATTGTCAAAAAAATTAATAGATGCTTCCTCCGATTTTTCTTTTATCTCAGAGGAATCATTTTCGTATACTGAGGAGAAATAATCTGCAAATTTACCTGCTATTATTTTGGGATCAAAGACTCTATTTTAAACAAAGAAATTATTTACCTCGGAGCCTTTTGTCTCTTATTCTTAATAAATTCCAAATTTGAGATCTCTACTTGGGTTGGGTTCAACTTCTGAAAAATTTACTCTAAAAGTGAATTTCAAAGAAAATTTAACAAAATGAACTCTTCTCGGTCCTCTTTACTTGTCTTCTCGGTTTTCTAAACTCTTCTTAACTTTTGTTACCTCTCCCTTGCCTTTAGTTTCTGCTCTTCTGTTTCCTCTGCTCCTTTCCGCATATACTTCAACTCCTTTACTACCTTTTAAATTAGACTCATCCCTTTATCTTTAACAAATTTTACTCCATACAATTTTAATCCTTTTTATAACTTTTATTTTTAAACTTTTTCCCCTCTGACAATTTCCAATTCTCTGACAATCTCCATCCCCTTCCAACAACTATCTGATTTTTTGTTCAAAATACCCTTTCCAGCAGTTAAACCACCTCAGTATCGTCAATGTCAATTTAACAAACATAAAAAAAACCATTACGTATAATTTTGTCTATCATATCAAAATCACCAATTTTGTATTTTAATAGTTTATTCTAGAGAATACAAATTTTTAAATTCTCTTATTTATCCGAATTGTTGATTTCTACAGTTCAACTTTATATCATTGCATTCACTCTGTCATTTTAGACTTATACATTTAATATTTACTTAATATAACCAAAGAGCAACATCCAAATCTCAAGTATCTTGTTCCAAATTATTTCTAACCCATTCCACCCTATCCACTCTCTTCTTTTAAGTCAACCTGCGATTCCTAACTTTTTTTCAAGTATTCATCATCCTATACCTATTATATTTTTTCTTTCTAATCACTTAGCGGTTTTAATTTAATTATTCTTATTTTTATTTACCGTTTTAATTTTTTTATCCTGTATCTATTTTAATGTTATCTTTATTTTATTTTTAGTTTTTATAATCACTTTGTTTCTTTTTCCTGATATTTTCTTTTTCTTTTACTTTGTTTTCTACTTTCCTTTTTCTCATATGTTTCTTTTACTCATTTTATTCATATTTACTTCTTTTCGTACCCTATGAATCAATCCTCTATCTTTCTCCACTGCCTTCTTTGACTTCAATTTCTTTTTTATCTCTTCTTATCTTTCTTTTGCCTCTTCACTTATTTCTAACTTCTTTGCGTTCTCATTCAACTTCCTACTCACGCTCTGTATATTGCTACTTATCTCATTAAGTTTCCACTTTCTTTAATCATATCCTCTTTATTAACATACATCTTCTTATTCAGCTGATTTATCATATTCTCCATCATTTATGAACTGAACGCCTTAAATCTACATTTCACTAAAAAGATCGTTGGGTAGATATAATTGCACAATATAAACTAAACACAATACGAATTATATATAATTTTAGTGCAGCTTCAGACCCTAATGAATGTTTACCATTAGAAAAACAAATACATAATGAAGTTGGCCCTAAAAAGGCTTTACAATGCCTCCAATTAGTCGAGGTATCAGCTGAATCCTATAATAATATCCCATCCCCCTTAATCTCCGTGTATATCTTTCACTTAGCTATTCATGAGCAAGCCCTCTTTTTAAAAGCAAGCGCGTGCTAGTTACTGATGGTTTTAAACCAAGCTTATGTCTCGTCATGAACGGGGAATGAATATGGGCATGGGGTGTCTTGAACCATCATCAATGATACGAAATACCAGATAACCATTTTGTGTTTTTGTTAAAAACTAAATTGTTGTGATCCATTTTTGATGAATATTGGGTACCTTTTTGTTTTTATAATTATTTAAATGATTACTACCTCAATTACTACTTTAATTACCACTTCAATTATACTTTAATTACTACTTCAATTATTCCTTTAATTAAATTACTACTTTAATTACTACTTTAATTACTACTTTAATTACTACTTTAATTACTACTTTAATTACTACTTTAATTACTACTTTAATTACTACTTTAATTACTACTTTAATTACTACTTTAATTACTACTTTAATTACTACTTTAATTACTACTTTAATTACTACTTTAATTACTACTTTAATTACTACTTTAATTACTACTTTAATTACTACTTTAATTACTACTTTAATTACTACTTTAATTACTACTTTAATTACTACTTTAATTACTACTTTAGTTACTACTTTAATTACTACTTTAATTACTACTTTAATTACTACTTTAATTACTACTTTAATTACTACTTTAATTACTACTTTAATTACTACTTTAATTACTACTTTAATTACTACTTTAATTACTACTTTAATTACTACTTTAATTACTACTTTAATTACTACTTTAATTACTACTTTAATTACTACTTTAATTACTACTTTAATTACTACTTTAATTACTACTTTAATTACTACGTTAATTACTACTTTAATTACTACTTTAATTACTACTTTAATTACTACTTTAATTACTACTTTAATTACTACTTTAATTACTACTTTAATTACTACTTTAATTACTACTTTAATTACTACTTTAATTACTACTTCAATTACTCCTTTAATTAAATTACTACTTTAATTAAATTACTACTTTAATTACTACTTTAATTACTACTTTAATTACTACTTTAATTACTACTTTAATTACTACTTTAATTACTACTTTAATTAAATTACTACTTTAATTACTACTTTAATTACTACCTTAATTAATACTTTAATTATTACTTTAATTACTACTTTAATTACTACTTTAATTACTACTTTAATTACTACTTTAATTACTACTTTAATTACTACTTTAATTACTACTTTAATTACTACTTTAATTACTACTTTAATTACTACTTTAATTACTACTTTCATTACTACTTTAATTACTACTTTAATTACTACTTTAATTACTACTTTAATTACTACTTTAGTTACTACTTTAATTACTACTTTAATTACTACTTTAATTACTACTTTAATTACTACTTTAATTACTACTTTAATTACTATTTTAATTACTACTTTAATTACTACTTTAATTACTACTTTAATTACTACTTTAATTACTACTTTAATTACTACTTTAATTACTACTTTAATTACTATTTTAATTACTACTTTACTTTAATTACTACTTTAATTACTACCTTAATTAATACTTTAATTATTACTTTAATTACTACTTTAATTACTACTTTAATTACTACTTTAATTACTACTTTAATTACTACTTTAATTACTACTTTAATTACTACTTTAATTACTACTTTAATTACTACTTTAATTACTACTTTAATTACTACTTTAATTACTACTTTAATTACTACTTTAATTACTACTTTAATTACTACTTTAATTACTACTTTAATTACTACTTTAATTACTACTTTAATTACTACTTTAATCACTACTTTAATTACTACTTTAATTATTACTTTAATTACTACTTTAATTACTACTTTAATATCAGTTTGTGATATAGTAAAAACCTATTATTAAATGTGGTCAGTTACATCGTTAGTACGTAAAAAGTCAAGTCAAAATTTAAAAAATTCTACTGATCATGTACGATGAAATTTGAACCCTCCCTTAATCCCCCAGTACTTATAAAGCATTCAAAATGGTATTAAAAAAACTTGTTAGCTTTTTTATTTATTTTCTTACGGCCAAGATGAATTTCTTTTAGATGGAAGGAATGATTTCAGAATACAAAATATTTTTATTGATTATCGACAAGCTTATTTCTGAATTACAGATAAGAAGTAATTCTTGTTCCAAAATTACTGACCTGTCTGGCTTATTGTAGAAACTTAACACAATATAGAAAGAACGGAATGTTGATGATAGTTTTACTAACGAACTCATTTTTTTTCTCGAACTTATTAATGAATTCTGACGAAACTTTAAAAACTTCATTAGATTTTTATATGATCTAATAAATCACAGTACCTATAATGGCTACATTTCTTATCAATACGCATCGTTAATTGCGAAGCAGATTGTTCTTTTTCGAAGCTTGCCTATATAAAAAACGAATATTGGACCACAATGGTAGAGGAACGTCTAGTTTCATTATCCTTAATGTGTATTGAATGCGGCATTAAAATAAAATTTGAAGATAATAAAGATTTTGTTAAATATAAAATAAGAATGTAGTGTGATTTTACGCAATATAAATGCTTGAATATTTTTGCTGTTTCTTTAGCACCCCTCTTGCCCATTATACTTTGTTTGGGGGGCCATAATTTAATTTAGCTCTGGGTCTCGAAAAACTTAATCCGGCCCTGCTTATATCAAAATTGACAAATAACTAATGCAGTACCACCACATACTTTGATTCCTATACGGTGCAAGAGAGAAGTCCGACACGCCCAATATAGGGCGCGGCCATTTTGATTCCTATGCCACAGTTTATAGCTAAAGAATCAGATTGCTCACTCTGCGTCTGCACTTTTGATCTCAATCTTCCAGTTCATACACTGCGCAACTCGGATAATACAATATATGACAACCGCCTATAATAAAACAGAAGTCCTCTGCGTATCCTGAATTTGTATCCCTGGAGTGGATGATCTTTTGGAACTTTCAACTGGTCCGAGTGAGCTAACTGATTCTTTAGCAATAAACTGTGACTCCAAAAATAATTAGGCATTCCAAACTGAATGGCTACCAGTGGCTTCTGACGGGTTATGATATGGCAAAATTATGGCAACCCTGTAGGCCTGGTGATTTGACAAGGTCAATGAAATAGATAGTTACATAGATTGATCATCCATATTTTTCAAAATAAACATAAGCTTATGCCTTGAAGTAAAAATGTAAGCAATTATTTTTTTTAAATATCTAAAGGCTAAAAATTGGTTTTAAAACACATTTTTGCTAAACTGATTCAAATGAATAAATATTTGCCAGGCAATATGGCCGCTCGTAAACGACCAGCTTTGAGCAATCTATATAACTATATATGTATCATTGACCCTGATAATGACAACATGACAACAGGGTTGCCATATCTAAACTGTCATTACCCACTGGTAGCACATACTTTGATTTTCTTTTACTATACGGAGAATGGTCGCACTGCGCAGCTTTCTGAGTGCCTTTTAAAAGGAGATACAGTTCATCAAATTTCTAGAGGCTTTCGACGGCTAGACAGAGAAAGCACTACTGACAGATGTAAATGTCAGATGTAAATTTCGCTAAAACATTTCTTTTATTTTCGTTTGTGTTTTTTGCTCATTACAGTTTAATAGAACCTAAGTATGGAGTTTAATAGCAAATTAAAAAG